GGGGGGTGGGGGTGTGTTCAAGTTATGCTATGTTTACTTAATGCTTCTGTGGGAAATTGGCCTTAGAGGAAATTAAGTTTTGCAGCTTGTCTTGTCTGGTCAAAAGACTGGGAAGTTAGGAAAAAGATCAGCCATTTGACAGAAAGGTTAAGGTCTCACTGATATTAATTCACTGTAAATTTTCCTAAATTTCAATGGCTTAATAGACGAAGAGAGTTTCAGGTCTGTGCTTTCACTGAGAGATGCTGCACATTGATTTGAGCAGTTTTGTGTTCTGTTGGTCAAGGATACAAAACACATCCAATCAGGCTTCATTTGTTTCATGCTCATGGAACAAATTTTTCTGGTTTTGGTTGTAACTCTGACATTTTGTTATCTCAAAAATAATAATTAAAAAAACCACCATAAAACATTGTACCTAACATGTACCTATCCTTACATGAGCTGGCTTTTCTTCTTTATAGCAGTAGCCTGAGACTTGTTCATCTAGAAAAGGCTGATTATTCTGCCATTTGCTTAACAACCCTAACAAGTTCTAGATTTCAAGCCTAGTCTTCCTGGGTTTGTTTTCTTGGAAGACCATTGTTTATCATAAATTTTCCACTGCAGTTTTTTAAACAAAAGTTGGAGGTTGTTAGTTGCTTGATGTCCATGCTTTTAGAAAGGTAATCATAAAGATATTTTAGCGTTACTTTTAATTCTTTGCAACAGTGATTACTTTGATATGTCAGTTTCAGTCTGTATCAGACCTACATCTCAATTGCTGAAATGAAGGAATATTCTGAAGAAAAACAGAGCATCAGGATGACTTTTCCTTCATGCGAATATGATGTAAGTCTTGGAGATTCAGCTGATGCAGTTTGATACTGCCTCCCACTGTCTGCTTTGCCATCTGTCAGATGTGAGATGGCAGGACAGCACATACATATGCTCCTTAGCCCTGCCAGTTAATAGGTAATTCACAGCATTATTTTAAACTGTGAACGGAGGTGTTAATGAGAAGAAGTCAGAATGTGAAGAGGGAAACATGGCATTCTGTTGCTTTTCCCAGAATCCCACCAAAGATGGGTGGAATCATTCCTCTGCAAAGTAACTAAACTGAGACAGTTTAATCTCTCAGAACTTTCGAGTAATCTTCAAATGATCAGCAAGAAGGCTTTGATGCTATTTTAAAAAAACAAAGGACAAAAAAAACCACCAAACCAACCACCCAAAACAAACCTCAGTATAACCTGAGAAAATAATAAAAAGTGATTATTATCTGCAGTGAAATTTGAACATAATTAAGACTGAAATTGTGGCCTAAAGAATAGATACACAAAATTATATTGGAGTAGACCTTACATTCTGGATATCTATGTGTAGGTAAACTCAGACTTTCAGGGTTTAGGGGTTTTTTCCTTAAATTGATCTGTATGATACACTTGTTGAAAGCTCAGGAACCTTTCAGCTGATGAAATAAAATGTTCTTTCTCAGCCTTAAATAAGACATCCAGTTCAGTGCAAGTTCCAATGGAGTAAGCTTTCCTTTTTTTCCTAGCTGCTCCTGGAGATGCCCTGTACTGGCATGTTTGCTGAGCCAAGTATTGGTTTTCTTGAAAAAGCTTTGTAAATGTTTCTGCTGCTCCTAGTGATGTAGCCTTTTGTAAAGAATTTTCTTTTTACTGGCAAATCAGCTTCTCTGTCCTGTTGTCTCTTACTTTGCCAGACAGGTAATGTATTCTGATTTTCCCCTAAGTACTCACAAAGACATCTCCAATCTGTTACAGCAATAGAATATCAATAACAATGTATAGGTTACTTTAACCAGTACTTGCGGTACATATTTAGAAGGGAATACATGTATGGTGTATGCTGAAGCTCCATGCAGCCAGCTGCAACTGATTTGATAAATCAGTTTTGTGCAGGATGTAGCTCTCCATTCAGCATAAGCACCATTTTCACTGTGAGCAAATGTTCACCAAAATTTAATTTAAAATATCTTAGTATTTTTATAAAGCACAAAATAATCTGTGTATTTGAAAGCAGAATTTTCTTTAGTGTTGTAAGAAGGAATAGACTTGAAGGTAATTTCTTTATGGAGCCTAGTATACTCAGTTTTTATAAAGGGTTAGGACAGTACACCACTGTGTTTTTATTTTGGCAGTTTTCTCGTCATTTCTGCAATGTGCTCATGCTGCTGAGAGACTGAGGGATTTGTGTCAAAGGATCATTTTGAAGTAGTGGAGGCGGTTTGGGACCATATACTAATTTGAATTGATTTTTTTTTTTTTTTTTAAATTTGTACAAAAATAATTTTAGACTGCTTAGTATTCGTTTCACAATGAGTAAGCAACAAAATAGAACAAGAAAGTGTATATTGGGTCCACTTACACGGCTAAATAGATTACGTTTTTCTACTTGCTCAGCAATTTGGTTGTCTCCTGCCAATGTCTGCCCTACCTAATACTCTGGATTATAAGTGGAGTTGAGGAATTAGTCTCTTTTCAATACTGACAGCCATAGCTGTCTTGCGTAACAGATAAAGGCTTTCTCAGGTTTTCTTACTGGCACTCACAGAAACCTGCTCCCTCCAACTTGCTCAGTAAACTTTTAATCCTTAACTCCTCAGGGTGTGAGAAGAACCATTTGAATCACTAATTAGTCATTCCTTTCTTATCCACAAAGAAGCCAGCTGGTTTTGCTGGCTGTCATTACAGGTGGAGGATTTAGGATACTGCAGACCTTTTAAATCTTTGCACCATTCTAGGTAAGGTTACTTTTGAGAATGTTTGCTAAATTTATCCTCCAAATCACATAAGACTTTTTTTTTCAGCCAACAAATATGTTTTACTTTGCATTTGTGATTATATGCATTGTATAAATCGATATAAATGTGATTGTTTCTGATTACATATTTCTATTTTTAAAAAATAATAAATCAAGCTACATGCATTTAGTGATGAGGTGGGTTTGCATAGAACAAGACCTCATAGAAAAGTTTTCTGTCCATATGACAGGGAATGGGTTTTTTGTCTCTGGTAGGGACTTTGAAACATACTTACATTAACGGGGTTTCTGAAGGGTACTACTTGGTTTCATACATAGTATGAATGTGCATCTAGACAAGCACTAGGAAACACAAAAATAATTTATTCTGTGTATATATCAACAACTTAAAAAGCAATTCATCCTTGTAGTATGCTCCACTTCCATGAGGATGATAACCACTTTTCGGGGGGCTGACAAATCAGATAAAGATTAAAGGATTTGGGCCACAACAACCCCCAGCAGTGCTACAGGCTTGGGGAGGAGTGGCTGGACTGCCAGTCAGAGAGGGACCTGGGGGTGTTGATTGACAGCCGGCTGAACAGGAGCCAGCAGTGTGCCCAGGGGGCCAAGAAGGCCAATGGCATCCTGGCTTGTATCATGATTAATGTGGCCAGCAGGGACAGGGAAGGGATCTCACCCCTGTACTCGGCACTGGTGAGGCCACCCCTCGATTCCTGTGTTCAGTTTTGGGCCCCTCACTACAAAAAGGACGTTGAATGACTCGAGCATGTCCAGAGAAGGGCAACGGAGCTGGTGCAGGGTCTGGAGCACAGGTCATACGGGGAGCGGCTGAGGGAACTGGGGGTGTTTAGTCTGGAGAAGAGGAGGCTGAGGGGAGACCTCGTCACCCTCTACAGCTACCTGACAGGAGGTTGCAGAGAGCTGGGGATGAGTCTCTTTAACCAAGTAATAAGCGATAGGACAAGAGGGAATGGCCTCAAGTTGTGCCAGGGAAAGTTCAGACTAGATATTAGGAAGCATTTCTTCACAGAACGGGTTGTTTGGCGTTGGAATGGGCTGCCCAGGGAGGTGGTGGAGTCCCCATCCCTGGAGGTGTTCACGAGTAGGGCTGATTTAGAGCTTAAGGATATGCTGTAGGTGGGAACTGTGCTAGGCGAACGGTTGGACTAGATGATCTCCAGGGTCCTTTCCAACCTAGATGAGTCTGTGATTCTGTGATTAGGATCTGCATTTCTCTCTGCTCAGTGCCCCCCATGCTGTCAGGTAGATGGATAGGGTTTAAGAGAATTACCACTAAGAGGGGAAGGAAGGAATTTGAAGTGTTTCCATGTGTGTATACCCACAGTGTGAAATGAAACCAGTAATATTCTAGAGAAGAACAATTTGCAATCTTTGTTTTGCATCTCTGCTTCTGACTTCCACTTTTGCAGATTGTTGCAAGGCCCTCTAAAGTATATATATTAAAAAATGTTTCTGTAAACATTTTATATACTTTTACTTGGGCTTTTATAATATGTGTGTGTGTAAAGAGATCAGAGCAATATGCTAATAAAATGTACTAATAGTAGGTTTGTGCTTTAAAGAGTACTGCGTGGAAAAGCGTTACTCAAGTTAGAAATTTTTAAAGAATCAATGTACCTCGTTGTTTGAACTACTGCATTATATAGCTTGTGTTTTTGCAAATGTTAATTAAAATACTTCACTTAAAGAATTCTCAGTCAAAACCATCTTTGAAGTCCCTTTTTAATCAGTTACTTGTTTCAGAGTTCTTAAAGGCACATGTGATTTCAGTTTGCAGTTAATATGTTTCGAACATTACCACCATCTTCCAATCCAACGGGAGCAGAATTTGATCCAGAGGAAGATGAACCAACCTTAGAAGCTGCATGGCCTCATCTACAGGTATTTAATGAAGACTAGGATGTCATAGTCTAATAGAATTTTGAAGTTAAAGTCATTGTTTATTGACATAAAATTGTTTAGGTTATGTGTTTATCTCAAGTCAATTACATTTCTCTGCAATATTTAAAATATATTTCTTGAATTTAAACTGATAATATTTTTTTTTTTTAAATTCAGTTAGTGCATTATAGGTTAAAGGCTCGTTTTCTTGCAGTACAGATGTAACTGCTGTGCTTTTAAATGAGCTTCTCTTTGTCACTATGAATGCTTTGATCTGACTCTGGCACAGCTCAACTTTTAGAGGTACTGTGACAAGCAGAGGACAACAGAGAATTTTCAAAACACGTACTTCTGGGCATGATGAATATTAGATTACTGTATGTCATTTGAGTAGAAACTAGTGATGGAGCTCAGCAGAATTTTAAAGCAGTTTAAAGAACCTTAAGTTCTTGTACTTTGTCAGGAGACCAAAAGCAAAGCTTTTTCTGTGTGGTATATAAATAAATACAAATAAAAACATAGTGCCCTTCTGAGCAACTAATTAGTAATTTTGGCAATATGCTGCTTATAAAATGGTTCCTTGTTTAAAAGTCTAATACTATTTTTTTGTTGTTTTTTTCAGCTTGTTTATGAATTTTTCTTAAGGTTTTTAGAATCTCCAGATTTTCAACCTAATATAGCTAAGAAATATATTGATCAGAAGTTTGTATTACAGGTGAGGTAAAAAAAGAATTTTTGACTTCAAGCTCTAAATTATTTTACAGTGCATTAGATTCAAGTAAAGTGCATCTTTTCCTTTTTTGCAGCTTTTAGAGCTCTTTGACAGTGAAGATCCTCGTGAAAGAGATTTTCTTAAAACAACTCTTCACAGAATATATGGGAAATTCTTAGGCTTAAGAGCTTACATCCGGAAACAAATTAATAATATATTTTATAGGTATGTCAATATCTTTGGATTATGATGCATGTGATCGGGTACACAACTAAAAATACTCCAAAACACTGCTAGCAATTTTTTAATTCTTCATAAGTTATACCAAATATGGCTACATCTAACAGTAATTAATACCAGTCTGGGAGATTTAAAGTAAGTAGTCATGCACACAGCATAAATTTGGCAGCTGAAATTTGAGTTAGTATGTAATTCAGTGCATGGTTTGGTATCTTTTCGTGAGACTTTTTTTTTTTTCTTATGGAATAGTAGTGTTTGTATTACAGTAGTGCCTTAATAAAAAGTTGGGCTCAAATCGAATGAGAGATCTAGAATTTGCTTGAAGGAACATATTTACTGCCTTTTTTTCCCTCAAAACTGGATGTACCATTTAGAACTTGTGAAGTATTTTTTAATTGCCATAGAATGAACTGTAGTAAAAATGTAAATATGAAAAATTAATCCACTGTATTACCAAAGGTCTTTAGAAGTGTTTTTACTGCCATTATGTCAAGTGTGAATGCAAGATTATGGTGCCTTTTTCTTAGGCTTTCAGTTTTGGTGCGCTTCTCTTTTCTACAAATAATTGTTGTGTATCAGTTTTACACTCCTTCCATCATGCTTCCCTTTTTCTCTGCCACTGTTGCTTTCATCTCAAAATGAATGTATGATGCTACCCCTTTAAGAAAATAGCAAAAAGCTGCCACATACTTGGTGCCATCTCATGAATGGCACCCAGCAGTACCAGCTGTAGAGGGAGCTTATCGTCCCTTTCTGTGCTAACAAGTAAGCCTTTAGAAGAGATACAGAGGGGCTACTTTAAAATAGTTAGTAAGCCTTCACTGTCTTGCAGACAACTGATTTTGACTGGACTTGTCAAGAGCCTAAGGAAAAAATACAGGTGTATCTTTGGAACAAAGATATAAATTTTTTTCCCCACACATAGATTTTATTAAATTAGTTCCAAAATGTATAATTTTATAAAATATCTAAACCAGATGATACAACGGCATCATAGCATATTATAATACACCTCTGAACAGTGTTTTTTTATTTGCTGCTTCTTGCACTTTACTTTCAGGGGTAATGAAGCAAAGTCTTCAAACACTGATAGTTCTGGTGCAAGGCTTTTGAAAGACTAAGGAATGTTCTAGTCATTAGATCAACTTTGTAATAGCTTGTATAAAAACATGTTTTCAATCCGAAATGTATATGGGAAATTACATAATTTACACTGTAGATACTACCTCTCTCTATGAAGGGGGGGGCAGGCAGGGATTAAACAGAAACCCTCACTTAGTTGTATAATATTTAGGAGCTAAACTAGTGTTCCTGGATATGAGCACCAGGGTGGAAAGTTTTTTCAACTTCTGTCTTGAATTAGTGGATTGTGCATGATAAGCTCTTAAAGTATGTGTAGAATTTTTCAAAATATTTTATTTTCTTATACTTTTCCCTGCAAGTTGTTAGTTTGTTACTGTGCTTACCTAAGAAATGTGTGGGTTTTATTTGTGATTTAGTCACTGACCAGAATTGCATGAATTCTGCTCCAATAGTGCATTAATCTTTTTTTTCCTACTGTGTTTTTTTAAAAAAAAATTATTAAACCTTCATGTTCCTGTTAATTCAGTCCAAAGCATTTCATATCATTGTCTTTAGTTTTGCTTGGAATTGTTATCCTGAATTGTATGGAGAGGGTCTTTAAGGAGAAAAGACAGTCACATCAAATATTCTGGATTAAAAGTAGCTGTTAATATGTCAGTCTATGACAAATTTCAAATAAAAATTCTTTTTAAGGAATGGATTTATTTTCTCATAATTTCTCTGACCATTTGTAAAATACCTGAAGTTGTTCATAGAACTTTCTCAGTAAATTTACACTCAGGCGATTGAGAATAAGGGTGGAAAGGTGATTGTCTAGTAAATTACAGTGCTCTGTCAAAAGAACATTCAGGAAAATTTGACTTCCTCTGTTTATTACAGATTCTTTTATATTCACGGAAGTCTGTAATGCTAAATTAGCTTTTTAAATCTATAAGTAGTAACTGTTTGAACACCTTGTGCACTATAGAAGGTTGAGTCATGGCATTTGATTATGCCAGATGCTCTTGGGTTATTTTAATATTTAAAGCGTTATTTGCTGTGTTCAGTTATGCATTATTAAAATGGCATAGAATATGAGTATTGGAAAAAACTCAAGTACGTGTTGCTTTGTTCAATGTGTGAGAAAAGAGTAAGCAATTGTGAAGCTTGATGTGCTTTTGATTTATGTTTCCACAAAGTTTCTTTTCCATTATGTATTTCTGTTTTCTTTTTACCAAATGACTAAAACCTGGGAGGTCAAAGCTACCTGTAATGTTCATGGGGATCTTGATGTTAGATTTGTATCTCTCTTCAGCAGTAACTGAGTAAAACTTTTCATTTATTTAGGTTTATTTATGAAACAGAACATCACAATGGCATAGCAGAATTACTGGAAATACTGGGAAGGTAAGTTCTACATTTTAATTAAACTCACTTGATCTTCAGACTAGACTGAAAATCGTGGGGGATTGCAGATTGCTTTGAGACAATATTAAAATAGTTTCATACAAAGTGGATAAGTTTTTTGCGAGATTGCAGAAAGACAATAAAAACTTGAACGTTGTGTCAGCATTTTAGGATGTGACAGTTTTTTAAATGTTATTTTTTAAGTCTTATTTTCTAGCTTAGGATTCTTGTAATTATATTAGTTGTAGAGCACCTACAAATAATGTGTAATGAGGTGAAATTTATTCAGAAATTCTTCTAACATCACTAAATGCGTGGCAGGTAAACAAAGGAAGCACAGGTTATGAAACTTCAGAAACCTTCTTTTGTTAATTCCGTTATTTTAGAAACCTCAGTGATGCACCTGAAAGCCCTTGAAACTAAAATTTTACAACTTAAATCTGGTAGCCTCATCAAAACACTGTGTTTTTTATCAACTGATTAATCCATATGCAAGCTTTTGGGTTTTTTATACATTAATACACTTCAAATGTTTAGTTAGGTTTACTTTATGGAGTTCCCATATCTTTGCACATAAAAATAACAGGTCAATGAAAGCAGGTTGCTGGTTGTGCTTTGAATACCTCCAAGGATGGAGACCCCACAACCTCTCTGGGCAGTGGGTTCCCACATTTGACCACGCTCACAATAAAAAGCGTTTTTTCTTTTCAATGAAATTTCCCATTTTCAGTTTGTGCCCATTGCCTTTTGCCCTTTCACTGGGCACTACAGAGAAGAGTCTGACTCTGTCTTCTTTACACCATCCCTTCAGGTATTTGTACACAGGGGTAAGATTCCCCTGAGTCTTCTCCAGGCTTAACAGCTTTCTCAGCCTTTCTTTGTATGTCAGATACTCCCTCCAGTCCCTTCATTATCTTAATGGCAATTTACTGGACTGCCTCCAGTATGTCCACATCCTTCTTGTTCTGGGGAGCACAGAACTAGACCCAGCGTTTTAGATGTGTCTCATCAAGGCTGAGCAGAAGTGAAGGATCACCTCCCTCAACCTGCTGGCATGGCTGTTCCTAATGCAGCCCAGAATGCTGTTGAAATTGGAAAGATGTTTTTAAATTGTCTAGATCTACATGTCTGCCCAGAATAGTTCTTTAATTTTTCAGTGAAATGTTCAATGATTAAAGGAATTACATATCCATCATTACTTCAACATACTATAATCAAGTAATATTCACCAAGATACACTGAAGAATGTATAATGCTTATATACTACAATATGGACCTAAATCTTCAAAACTTAAGTCAACAGGTTTTTCATTCTTGGTTTTGTTAGGTTAGCTTTAAGTATTACAGATTTAAAAGTTGTGTGGTTGGTTTGGGTTGGGTTGGGTTTTTTTCCCTTGGGCTTCCAAATCAAAATTTCTAGTAGCTAAATGAAGCTTCCGAGCTGTAGCTGTTCTGTACTGGTTATTCTTCCAATCCATTAAGGAGTTTAACACAGCATGTTGTTGACGTAGAGCTTCTTATGAGTAACATTTTTTTAGTTGGGTTCCTGGGTTTTGACTTGTCAGAAGTAAAGAGGAATTTAAATTCATGCTGAAGTACTAGATTTCATTCTTTTCCTTTGCTAAGTTCTACATAATACTGGACAAATGAACACTTCCAGCAGGAACTACTAATGTGGTAATGTTTTTTTCTGACAATCATGTCTTGACAGGATTGCATAATTACTTCACACTCACTGGAGGCTAACCTTGCCCTACAGTTCTGCTCCTCTTTGTGGTTAACTACCCTCAATTCATCTTGGAGAAACTTTTTTTTTTTTAAATGAAATTGTGTACTTGAGTATGTGGAAGTTGGCAAGAACACCGTAGAAGTGTTAATGTAGAAATGTGGGTTTGATAGTATGCACTGAGAGACTTTAGTAGGAGTAACCTCATATCCTTATAACAGTTGTACAGTCATTACTAGTGAAAATTATTTTAAGCATGTGCAGCAAGGGTGAGCAAGTGTTATTTAGTAAGCCTTAATTCTGAGACATCATGTGATTTTTGAGATCTCAAGTATGTGTAACTTTGAATTTTTTAATGTGTGTTTTTTCCAAGGTAAGTTTGGCAGATTCCTTCTACCTGAGTGTCTTCTATCCTTGTTAGTGAAGCAAAGAACATTAAAATGAATAAAATAATAGTAAATGGGCAATAGGATTCCAGATGTTTTAACTGATGTTAATGCTGACACAGTGAGTGAACACAAAACACTCTTCTAGTACTGTGGTTTTAGGTAAAAGTGCCATTGAGCCAGTATTGAGCCACATCTGCACTCACCTGTAACTTGGATGTACTGAGATGCTGTTTGATTATATTCTAGAGTCTTGCAGAAGTAGGAATATTTTAGTAGAAGTCATGTTTTGAGTTGTCTGCTGTCCTGGATTGATCTCATCTACGTCCAGTCTCTGGTTCATTCTTTAATTCCCTGAAGAAGCTGGAAGAAATATGTATTCAAAGCTTTGGTGATAGTGAATAGTTCATAGTGAAAGTTGGAATCTGAAGTGTAGGTATGGTTATGTTGCTCAGAAGAATTTGGGACCTGTGAAAGACTTGGGCAAAAAATGGGCAGAGGTTGATTTGACTACTAATATGTAATCTTTAGGGAGCTGGATCTGGGAGCTGGTGCATGCTTAATTTGTAAATTTTTCTATTGTATCATGTTGTCCAGATCACAAAAAAACCCAAACAAGGATTTTGGTATATCCTGTACAGTAGTGCAAATTTTGTGTAATTATTGATTTTTCTTCTTAAATTTCTTTCCCTGACAGCATAATTAATGGATTTGCCTTACCTTTAAAAGAAGAGCACAAAATATTCCTATTGAAGGTTTTGTTACCATTGCACAAAGTGAAATCACTCAGTGTCTACCATCCACAGGTAAGTTTTGTGTGGCACTTTTCATACTAATTTTAAAGCAAGTTTGCCTAGAGAGGTCAGGGAGATGCTAGTCATTCTGACATGGATTCTGTTCTAAGCTTCAACACTTCCCTGTTAACTGGTCTTGGGGAAATTATTTAATACATGTACCAGGAAATTATTTAATACATGTACCCATAACGCTTCACTTGCTGAGGGGCAAAAAAAATTTAAAAATATACGTGTGTGTGTGTATAAATAAATATCTTTTTTTAAAGCACTGTAGTGTTTATAGATGAAATGCATGAAGTAGTTGGTTAATGTGAGAGTTCTTGATATTTATCCACCCACAGAATTTTTTGTTTATCTTGCTCTTGTCTGTAATGTTTAGACATACAAAAATTGCAGAAAAGTATGATTTTAATGAATGTCATCTATGAACAGTTTTTTCTAAAACTACATGGAGAATTTCAGCTGAATTCAGTTTCTTACAACTGTTGATGTTTTGAAATTAATTGGGCATTTGCTAGGACATCATTAGTTAATTCAATAGATATTTTTAGAAGTACACAGAAAAAAAATGGGGTATCTGAGTTGTATTGTGCTTTTAAACCAGCTGTATCTTTTCTGTGCTGAGTTTAGTTCCATTCAGAATTCCTAGAGAAGTGGGGAATCATAGTGTGTTAGAGAAAACAGAGTATTACTGTGATATGCTAGAATTTTATCTATGAGAGGTTGTTACACAGCTTTGTTCTTTTAATTTGAAAGTTCAACATTCTCTATGTAAGTTTAAGTATTCTAAGTTGTAAGTACCATTTCTTCAAATAAAATTACTGACAACTTGCATCTTTAAGAACACCATTTGTGTAATTACAATTCTCTAGCAATTAGAGATGCTTATAAACATTTGCTTTGGATCTTGCCTTCTGGGGCTCACATCAGTTCCTCTTGAAGTAGTAAGCTAGAGTGGCTCCCGTTTAAAAAGTTGGGTTTTTTTCTTTTTTTCTAATGCTATGAACATAACCTGTTGGAGTGTGGCCAATCAGACCTTTATTATAATCTCAACTAGTACAGATATCTGTGATCGTCACCTTTTCTTCTACCTACCTAAGATGGACTGGTCTGTGTTTATTCCCCTTAATTCTAATTCTCCAAAACCTTCAGGTGATTTGCATTCCTCACTGCTATCAGTAAAAAGAAGATAGTGACTTAGGGATGCCTTTCTTACATGTCCTACTGAAAGAAATAAGAAAGCACTTCAAATGAGCTTAGTATGTGAAACACCAGAGTAAAACCACAAAAATTCACACTGAAACAGTGGCAGATATTCAGAATTTTGCTGCCAAATCTAGATATACATGAAGAAAGCTAATTTCTATATTCAGTTCAAATTTACTTTAGAATAGCAGAGGACAGTAGATACAATCATCTTGGTACAGTCCTCAGGTTACTTAGGGACATTCTCGATAGCAATCATCAAAAACAGGAGAAGAATTGGACTAATCAGCTGAACTTTCATAAATGGAGAGATGTTAGGAAAATGGTTAAACAGTTCATGATGTGTGCAGTGATCTTCCCATTTACTTTGGGACCGTTGGCCTATCGAGTGAAAGGGATGTAATATTTCACTGTTTAGGCACAGACAGACAGTCTCATTCTCAGAATTGAAGTTGGTAAATACTGTAATTCAGCCTCAGCTTGCATCAGCTTTACACTGACATGCATAGTTATCATTAGTTCTCGTACATAGAAAACCCTAAGATTTACAACTCTTCAGTACATTTTAAACTAACTTAGACTATAAAGTAGAAAATACTTGTTAAATCAGCATGAGACACCAGAATGTTAGGGATTGAAAAGCACTTTAGAGGACAAGACTGTGATTTTTTTAAGTCCCATGTTTGAAAAGATGAAGTGTGCTGAAATGCAAAGTACTGTGTCTAAAAAGAAAGTATCTGACATACTAAAAAGCATTACGTGTTTGTCTATATAACCCAGAAAAAGGTAAGAACTTGAGAAAGTTGGGAGAAATTGCTGAAGCATATTTACCCCTTCATTGTTTAAATTGTCTGCCAAATAATTTTTGTAAAGTTACAGAACTGTTGTGGTTTTATTTGAATTCAGAAGTGTTCTCCACTTATGCTAGTGATTTCAAAGTGTGTTCAGTTTCACAGTGAGCACTAATAAAAATCTTTTTCTTTTACTGTAGCTGGCATACTGTGTAGTTCAATTTTTAGAAAAGGACAGCACGCTTACAGAACCAGTAAGTTTATCTTGCTATTATTGTATATTTTGGAATATTAATATCCCTTTCATCTATCGACTGTTTAGGAGGCTTGAGGAACAAAGTTTTGATACGTAATTGTTTTTATTAGGAAGAGTCAAATATTTAACCATTTTGATCTATCAAATTCAGCTTTTTCAACAGTTGTTCGGAATGTCCAGAATGAATTGAAACACCATTAAGAGCATACCTCGTACAAACAGACCAGAGTTCATTCTGCTTATTTTGCTCTGGCTGTCTGTGTATGAGATGGTTGATCCAGAAGCAGTTTAGTCAGAAATTAGCTTGCCTGAACCGTGCTCTGTTGAGAGACTAATGTTGATGGAACACAGATTTCTGGCACATGAAGCTACCTATTGATGCAAGGCTTTTGAGTCAGACCCTGTTCATGTCTACCAAGTTTGGACCATAGACAAAACCAGACTTTGGACTGGCTGCACGTAATTGCACAGATGAATGCTTTTAATTGTCCTTGATACTATATAGTGTTTTGCCTCATTACACCCAATATTAAGTAGGTAAGAACTAATATGTTTAATTGCTAAGTAGCAGTAAAATGATTGCTACTAATAAAAGCGCACATTATTTGATTATAAACGTTTCCATTGTAAAATGAAAACTGGAATTCTTGAAACAAATGAAGTATGCAGCTGAGCAAGAACTCTTCTACTTGGAGCTTTTAATATTTGTTAAGATATCAAATATCAGACATTCTGTCATTCATGCTATATGAGATCTTGAAATCTTAACTTTCCTCCAGAGCTAGGATGTTACATATTTCCTAGAACAAATCTGAACTAATATGCATCCAAGTCTGTTTCCATTTTTTATCCCAAATTAGTATGATTACAACATTCTTCAGAAACTTGGGGCATGCATCACCGAGGCACTAAGTTTCCCTTCAAAAATTCTGGTCATTACAAAATAAAATGCTTTATTTCCCCTTATAATTGTCATATGAGACTTTCTGACATCTTATTAAAAAAATCTGCAGAAATTTCCCAAGGCTTCATTAAAGACATAGTGTCTGCTTTCATGATGAAATAATACACTGATTTCTCACTGAGTTGTCTTGTCAGTGATGATATTAAATACTGCTTATAGCTTTTAAATATAAAAACCTGGACTTTTAAAATGTCCTCCATTTCAGAAAGCAAAAAAAAACCCTGCTTTTTTTTCTAAATGAGAGAAAACAGTTGTCTGAGAGAAAGGATAATGGATTGTTACAACTTCTAAAAGATATAAAAAACCAAATATACACTGTCTTTTAAAAGAGTTTTTTCAATAAGTCTACTGTTTTGGGGTTTTATTTTGTCTCCAGTTCTACATCTAGGACTAGACAGACACTGGCATATTTTTGTTCTTTATGTGGCTTTTTAATCCTTAACCACAAAACAAAAACATTTATAAATTTACACATTCAAGGTTGTATGAAATATCTAAAATTAAGATTGAGTGCTATGCCAATAATTTTAAAGTATTTAACATGGTTTAAATATTCTTTGAAGGAAAATGTCTTCCTGTTTGAATATTGTTTGGCACCAGATCTCCACAGATGGAAAACAGTTTTTACAGTTGTTTAAAAAATCTAAAATTTTAAAATCTTACACTTTAGTTTGAAAACTGACATCTTTGGGGGAAAAAAATCACCATCCTTTCACAACAAAAACATTTGTGTCTACTCGTATTTTCCTTAAATCAGAAATGGCTAGCAGCATGAGTCAGTATTCCTTCAGTACAACTTTGTGTATTGTCTTTATATTCTTAAATAAATTATTATGCAATTGATAAGTAATGAATACAATGTCTAAATATATTTAAACTGATAAACTAGTATCACCTTTCAGACTTAAATTCTACTTATATATCCAGTAGATGAGAGAGTTTGGTTTTCAGTTAGACTTCAGAAACATTTCCCACAGATTCTTCCTGAAGAGTCATGAGCCAACTGGCAGACAACTTCCTTTGTCACATTTTTATGGATCCTTTAGCTGTCTCCCCTCTCCTTCTGCCCTTCCTTGCCCTTTCCTCCCACTTATCTTTTGAGTATTCATGGCTTGCTAAGCAAAAATGGCTTCAGCAAGCTGGGTAAATAATTTAATCATGAAGAAAGTTCAGACTGATTATAGTAATATAGTAAATTAAATAAAACTCAGTGTTTAAGAGCAGCATGCCTAGAGTAGTTGGTCACCTGTCAATTTGGGTATTTATAGTAAATCTTTTCTTAAAATAAGATGATGGGACTGAATTTCTTGAGCTTTGAGCTACGCCTTCAGGAAATTATAGTTTGAAAGCTGCTATCACTTAAGTGGCAGCTAATTTTCCCCGTAGTATAGTAGCAAATTTGCACTTTGATTTGATGATCATGTTAAGTTAGATGTCAGGTTGTTTTCTGTAGTCTTTTTGATTATTATTTATAAACATTTAAGTATGTAACTTTGTTTTCTGAAGAAGTATTTCAAACCTATTAACAGTTATTTCTGTGACACTGAACCATATCTGATCACTGCTGTCACATGGGATAAGAAGTCTGAGTTTTCTGTTCTGTTTAAAATACCTGGCTTCTTAATGAGCTATAATTTAGCACAAGGTAAAGTCAAATTATCATGAAGATTATGTTCACTTTGTCTCTACAGGTTGTAATGGCACTGCTGAAATACTGGCCAAAGACTCACAGTCCAAAAGAAGTCATGTTTTTAAATGAACTAGAAGAAATTTTAGATGTTATTGAACCATCTGAATTTGTAAAAGTTATGGAGCCTCTTTTCAGACAGCTAGCCAAATGTGTGTCCAGTCCACACTTTCAGGTCTGTACTTACTGAATGTACAATATTATGAGGATTTTTATTAAGCAAAATTTTTGTTGCTATTACTGTTTTGCCAGTTATTAGGCCTAGCATAAAGGACACAGCCAGCATAAAGATGAACCAATAACCAAAGTGTTTTTGATACAGAAGGGTCAGTACATGGGTGAGTGCTGGGGGTACAGACAAGTCAGTCAGATGATACATAATTGACATCAATCTCACTGACCCTAATAATGGGTGGAATAAATGGTGAAATGCAGTCTCCTATAGAAGGGATGGGAGACAACTGAGTCAACAAGCCAAACACGTAAGACCAAGGAAGCCAAATACTGAATCTCTACACAGCCCATGTTTACAAAAGCCAGACCTGACTGGAGCCCAGTCCCAGGGAGGCTGGGAGGTCCTTCCCCAACAGGGAACTCCGCACAGGGCATCCACCTCACACACAGACACTGCCCCTTCCTGCAAGTGGTCCCAGCTTTTATCCCTCAGTGGGACACCTGACCTTTGCTTACTTAATGTGGGACACCTGGGGCTCATTTACCCAATGGCTCTCCTGCAAGGCCGGACCCACCCTGGAGGGAAGCCTAAAGGTAAACTCACCCCCCCTTTGTGAAGGGCTGTGGGGATCACCCATATGTCAACATTAATTTGGGACTTGGGGTTGAAACCACAGCATTTCAATTACCTACTATTATTCACAATAATTATTTTTTTTTTAAAAATAATCTTCCAGTTCTGTGTCCGTGAACCCTTTAAGTGCATAGTGTTTGCATTTTGCTGATTGTAATAGAGTTCTACAAATACTCTTTCTTTTGGAAAACATTCCTTTGCTTGAATTTCACAGTTCATAGGTTATAGTTTGAAGTATCTCCCTATCAAGGAAAAGGCAGTTCTTCATCTGTCTTTCCATCAGGTCTGTGACTCCCATTTGCACTAGAAAAATCCAAATCCTAAGTTGCAGCTTTTTTTACCTTTCCCATGTATTTGCCAAATGTTTCAATTATTTGCTTCAAGAGATTGTATTCCTTTTTTTCATGTCATCTTAGGTTGCGGAGCGAGCGTTATACTACTGGAATAATGAATATATTATGAGTTTAATTAGTGATAATGCCGCAAAGATTTTACCCATCATGTTTCCATCCTTGTACCGGAATTCAAAGACGCATTGGAACAAGTAAGAAACACTTGTACAAATAAAATTCTGCTACTTCACTTATGTCTAGTTCTAGACTTAAAGGTGGTTCAGACCTTTGAGTTGCTAGTTCTAGGAGTGTGTTGAACTGTTTATTCTATGACATTAAAGTTGCTGGATAAGGAGGGAGACTATTGTTGTCAGAATTTTTAGGAAATACTAGGAATTAAGGAAGATAGTTTTTTTCTTTTTTTTCCATTAAACAAGAAATAGTGTTTTAGTCCATCTAATCCATGATGTATTTTATTCATATGAAGCAAATTTGGCATTAATATATAGTTCAGACACTTCTAAAGACTGGCTTTGATTTCTGATCTCAAACTTCTTTGCTGATTTGCATTTCTTCTGCATTCTAGTGGAATATGTTATAGATCAGGTCATTTTTTTCCTTCCTCCCCCCCTTTTTTTTTTTTTTATTGTTTTCTCTTCTTTCTCCATTGACTATTTTTGCTTTTTTCACCACAATAACATAGTACTTACGCATGAAAACAGTCCTGGTTAGTTCCTTTCTGCAGCTGTTCCGTTGTAAAGGGCCTCTTTGTTTGAGCTATTACACAACTGCTGGGATGGTGAAAGTCTCAGTCTAGCGCTGACTATGAATTGAGGGCTGGTGGTGGGTTGGCCAGAGTAATCAATCTGCCACTAAACACAGGAAAATAAATGGAAGATAAAGTGATGTTAAAGTGATTGGTTACTGTCACTGGATATTAACGTACTCCTTAATAACAATTCTGATTCAGTGATGCAGTTCTACATAGTAAATGTCGATTGCTGTCAGTTGGTTTTTTCCTGGCTTTCAAGGCCATGCATTCATTTTATTCTGAGCAGAAGTCATGCTACCCAGTACAGCTGCACTTTTACGTGTAACTCGTGTATGCTTTAACTGATAGCTTTTTGGATTTAATGATCATTAGTAGATATCAGACAGGAACTGTAAATTACTGTGTAAAAGTGCTTCATTAAAGCAGATTATTTTTGCTTAATTTTTCTGATGTTTTCCACTTGACTTTTCTAACACTTTTCTAGAGTCCTGGCATAACTGTGTTGAAGTGAGTGCTGTTGCTGTGTGGCAGTTTTCAAAATGAATGGTGTCTTTTCTAAGCTCCTTTAATCATTAACTTTTTTCCTGAATTTGTCAGTTGCCAGTAAGTTAACCTATATCAAGATCTTTAACGTCATCTTGCATTTTCTGTAATAACCCTAGTTTGATTAGTGTCGACAACTAAATTTCAAAACTAGTCTTTTATTGATACACGTAGTATTAAAAATAAAGTTCAAATATCAAAAGTGACAAGTAGTATTATAGAGTAAGAAAACTGCATTCAAAGTTGGTAATTTCAGTACTTGTATTAGCCCTTTTGAGGGTAAACTGAAACTTCCACTAACTAGTATTGTTTCCACTTATTCTGAAATGATGTAATTTTCCAGTTATGTAGGCTATTGGCTACTGTTGACCAGAAAAAATAGATTTCAAAGTTTAAAGTACTCTGAGTTTCAACCAGAAGTTTTACTTATAGGACAATACATGGCTTGATATACAATGCTCTGAAACTCTTCATGGAGATGAACCAAAAACTGTTCGATGACTGCACACAGCAATTTAAAGCAGAAAAACTGAAGTAAGTTTTCATGTCAGTGTGTCTGTCTGTTCTTGAATATTTTGTTCAGAGTGCTTTAGCTCTGAAAAACTGTCTTTAGTGGTAAGTTGCCTATTTGATTACAGTACAGCAGTCTCAAAACTGACTTGGTGAAACTTTTTGTTATATGTGAACTGTAAGATCTCCTTAAAGAGTAGGGTACCTCATGTAGTCTTTGACCCAGTAGTGCTGGAGGTCACCATCTTCCTAAAAATTATTTTTTGAGAGGCACACTGCTAATCATGGAGCCCAGTGTAAAAGATCTGTGAAAGAGTTTAGTTTATATCCAGTGTTTATTTTAGCATGATTTATTTACCCAGTGTTATTTTCTTTCATGTTGTCACTTGGTTCCTCCCAAAACACTCTTCCAGTATTTTCAGCACTGCATTATGTGAGAGCATATGTGCATGTTTTTCTAAAAACTACCTGCAATAAAGTTGTTAACTCTGTTGTAATAAAGGGCATTTGTACATTATTTGCCAGAAGAATCCTGCCGAGTTTAGTATATTCTTGCATAGGCCAGTGAACAGAGCAGGGATTTGAAACCTAGATTTTTCTGGTTTGTGCCCAGAAATGCAGATAACTTTTATGATCATAAAGTCACTTATCTTCTGTTCCTCTTTTTCCAATTTTGTTAAATAGACAGAATGTTTTTAACAGGGATTCCTTCAAGTAGTGGTTCAAATTATATATTTATTTTAAACCAATGTACTGGAAGTAGTACATATTCTTAATGTGGATTGATTTGTCCAAGTTTTGACATTCCTCACTACAATTTAAGTAGAAGCGAGCTTGTAGTATAACAAATTTTTCAGATATATGTGTGCTTATAGATAACAAAATGTGAACATTTGCCTTTCCTCATAGCAAAGAAGTAGAATCCCTTCTACATGGGAAAGCGGTCCTTCTCTGTTACATTTTTAGCAGGGGGGTAGTGGGGTGGGGTGTTTGAGTGTGAACTAAGGCAGGCAGACTGCTGAGTGACATAATAACAAAACAAAACCACAAAAATCCCCCACCACATAAGAATTTAAAAGGAGGTGGTTAAAGAGTTGTTCGCCCCTCAGTCCAGAGTTACCTTAATTGAGAGTTGGAGGCAAATTGTGTATGTGCTTGAATATAACTGTGCTCTTTTTAAAAACAAACAAACAAACCACATTTGGATCATCTGTTCTATGCACTGGAGCCTGAAAGGACTTTTAGAACTCTTAAGATCAAAGTGCTTTTAAACTCTACCACCTTTCAGAGACAGATGTTCATTCTAATCTCTGCAATAAATTATCTGTAAGAAAGAAAGGAAAAAAACCCTAGATTATACCTTTTGGAATTACATTAGGCATAAGGAAACAACGTTTCCTACTTTAATTTTTCTTAAAAAAAAAAAGGACATCCCGTGTCATCCCTCTTGTCTTGTAACTCTTGAATGAGTGTGTTTTTGTCACGTACTTCTGTCAGTGTTCAATTCAGAATGTTTCTGGGCCTTTTCCTTTAAACTAGTACCTGAAGCCATTGGGCTGACAAAATTTCTGTTCCTTTTATGGACAGATATTAGTTTCTTATGTTGCAATATAGAATTCAAATATTACATAGTTAAAATGCAAACACACTTTCAACATAGATCAAGACTTCTTTTTGGTTTAACTCTCTTAACAGTATACAGTTATTAAAGATAAACTGGTATCAGCCAGATTGTTGCTTTCATGAGGAAATAAAAAGTTTTTTCCTTTTTAATGTTGCTTTGCAATCATGGGGTATTGATACAATGCAAACAACCCTTTCAGCAGTAACTGAAATTTTGGACAGTTGGCCGAAGCAGGCATAGCTACATAATTTATTCTGTTGAATTCTTCTAGTGAATTTCTTCATGTTTGAGAAAGTGTACATGTTGTGATGCAAGATTCACCAAGCTGCATTTGCCATTTTTGGTTCTAATTCTTTTTTTTTTTCAGAGAGAAGCTAAAATTGAAGGAAAGGGAAGAAGCATGGGTTAAAATAGAAAATCTAGCCAAATCAAATCCCCAGGTATTTCGAAAAGATTAACATGTTCATGTTTAAATATTTTAGTTTTGTTAAATATCAGTGGGGGAAGCAGGTCTGACTGATCATGGAAATAAAGCAATTTCACTAATTGTATTATGAAAGATACACAATAAAAGTACTTTTAAAATTTGTAACCTTCCTCTTGTGCAAGTAATTATTTAAAAAAAAAAAAAAAAAGTTTCTGAAAAGTATGGTATGAAGTACTTTTTCCTTTTCTTATAATAGGAGATACTCTGTATTGCGGTTTGAAAAGTTACTGTGCAAAATTATGGAAAATATAGAGATGCCATAATTGGTTTCTCTTGAAAAGCTGTTTTGCAAACAGTATATTACAAAAAAAGATCTTTCTGCAAACTGTGAGTTATGACTGGTCAGTTTTCCTCCGTGTCAAATGGATTAAAATAATACTGTATGTTCTTGTCTGCTGCATTTGTTTTCATACTTGCATTGGTCTGGTCTTCTGATGAACCTGCACTTCAGGTTCTTGCTAAAAGGAAAACATCATGTCAGGCATTACTTGATGTAACTGAAATTTTGATAAAGAAACAAAGGTCTTTTAGACTATTCATTATATTTTGAAATTATGGGAGGAGGGGATGGTTTGGCTTGGTTGTTTCTTTCCCCCCCCCCCCCCCCCCCCC